GGGGGGGTCTTGGGGTTGAGAGTATAGTTACCATTATTGTATCATATCAATCGGTACGATTGGTATGTATCGATTTTTATATTAGACTAAAACAATATGTGGTCCAATTTTGTTTTGATCAAATTTTGTCTATTTCGATCAAATTTCGATACACCAGCCGATATTTCGATATACCAGCCTGTACATGAAAATTGATCGGTACCACTCAATTCAAATTTAAAAAAGGTAAATTTCATTTTTGGTCCTCAACTTTAATATTTTACATAATTTTCATCATTTAACTTTTTTATATACTTTTTTAGTCCACCAACTATGTAAAATGTATTTTTTTTAGTTCTTCTATCAATTACTCTGTTAAGTTCGTCTAAATATACACATTTTTAGTCCCTTAACTTAAAGTGGATTGACGAAAAATATACATATATTAGAAATTAAAAAACTAAAAATGGTCATTTTAAACTTGTTTTCAATTTATAGGAATATGATAGTTTTAAACATTAGTATCTCTTATTTTATTTTAAAATTTGATATTTAATTTATAAAAATATACATTTATAGTGATAAATCTGAAATGATACGCAAAAAATTTTAGTATCTAGTATGTACCATTCCAGTAACAAAATCGATATACATACCAATACGGTATTAACAACTTTGGCTAGGATAGGTGTTGGTGGAGTGAATATCACTTAATAAAAGCTAGGGAGTTTACTCAATCACTTCTAGGGTGTGTTTGGATTATCAATTTAAAAATAATTATCATATATTAAAAGTTTATTTGGTATAATAGTTAAAATTTAATATATTACAAGTAAAAAATAATAGTTAACAGATAATGAAAAGCATGTAATGGATAATAGATAACAAATTCAATTGATACGATTGTTTGGTTATATAATAGTTAATGGTTGTTATTCAATGTTAAATAACTAATAAGAATATATTTAAAAACAATTAAGTGCATATTTTTCTTTTTATATTTTTTATTATTCAAATTATTAATTTTATAAAAATAAAGGTGTAATCACACATTAATTTTTATTTATAATAAAGAAAAAATTATATTATTTTACAATAAAGTATAAGAAATTTTAATTTTTTCATTTATTTAGTAAATTTTGTTTATTAAGCTAATATATTTGT